TGATCCATGATATGCCATAGGTTGTATATCAAGAGAGAATGTTAAATTTTAGGGAACCAGTTTATGGTGATAACCAAACATTGCAAGCTATTGAGATGTAGTTGGAAGAAAATTAAAGTTATGGGGAAGCTAGTAGTGAAAATAAGAATATATTTCTTTAATTTATTCTATTCTCTTTTATATTTGTTGTCTTTTTAATATTTAGTTTACTACAAAATCATTATTATTATTATTATTATTCCACATTCATTATTTAATCATTCTCTCAATTTTTTAATTCAAACGCCTTTTAGGAATAATCCACCTCATAAATCTAATACATCTATGTTTGGGTAATGGAAGACATTGACCACAATCCCAATTGATGTAAGTCAAACTGAGCGACCCTCTGGCTCACTACCTATTATAATGACCATGGCTAGTCCTTCTATCGTTGTCCCTACTAATAAATGCCCTCACTTTCCTTCTCTATATCCTACATAGACCACCCCTTTTACCCATACGATCTCCCACCAATATCTCAACCACCCCTTCAACGTACCCTACCCTTTATACTCACAACCTTTATATTATACACCTCAACCATAGCCACATTTAGCGAGATCATCCATATTTGCTGAGTAGAGGGGAGATGGCGCTTTGTCATCTGGAAATGATCGTATGTACAGAGATCCTGATGGTGATATGCAAGTATATAATTTTTTTTATTATGTTAATAGGTTAATTTATAATAATATGATATATTTTATTTATTTATATAACTTCAAACTGTCCATATAGTTCACACATAAGATTAAAGACGTCAAAAGGAGCAAGTATGCTGCTCCATATGCATCTTGTAAGAAAATATCATAAGATGTTTGTGCACATGGTTTTGAGTGTTTGAGATAAATTAGTACTATAAATACACTTATTTTTTTAAATACTCTAACTAAATCTTACTATAATTTTGAGAAGGGAGGGTTGACTCACGTGTACGATATGTTCATAGATATTGGCAAGTTGAGCGAGTGACCTTTGTGGATTTGTGAGAGTGCTTGAGCTAATTTGAAAAGGGCTTGGCGTAGCATAGATTATGACAGAACGAGGGAGTAAAAAAACATAATGGAGCTTCTAACTATGAGGGCATATGCAACTTCCTTATTACTATAGGCTCAGATACTCACACTGAGCATAGACAACATTTGGTATAGTCAACTCCTTTAATGTAGTGTTATTTATACTTCATCTATGGTGTTTTCTTAATATATTCTTTTACAGAAAGAAGCACTTGTAGAGAGCCCACTTCCTTGGAGTTACATACTCACATCCATTAGTGCCAGGAGGATCATTAATGGATTGACCATAGATGAAGAAAAGCCTATGTTTGTATCAGAATTTCTATAATTGTTATGTTTATAAGTTGCATATATAAATTTTTATAAGTGCTTTATATGTTTCAAGAGGATTATGTAAGGCTTCATGAGAGCCAGGCTTCTACTAGTGAGGGGTCACTTAAAAGATGAATGCACTACTCAATCTACAGTATGTGATTGCTAATAGTGGGAGGCATATATAAGGAGGGATTGTATCGATTAGGCTTATAGGCCTATGCATATGAAGCACAATCATCCTACTTAGTAGCTTTCATAGATAGTGGCATTGAGGAGTTGTTAGTTGAAGGGTGGCAGCTTTGAAAAAGGAAATAGAATAGATGCAACAAGTATAAGCTAATATGTAAGTGCAGTAAAGTCGAACGCAAGCTGATCTATGGGCATTAATAGAGCAGCAGCATCAACAACAACCCTAAGAGGCTAAGGAGAGTGAAGTGATATGTGATGATTAGTTGTAGATTTTCATGTGCTTATTTTGATATTTTTATCTCATGCACTATTTCAAAACATATGAATAGAATGTTAGAATTGGTTGTTTTATTATTTAATTAGTTATTGTTTTGTTAAAATTGCTTTTTAAATTGATTTGGTTTAGTAATATATTGGCATGCTTTAATATTAAGTGCTGCTTAGTTTTTGCTAATCGTAAGAGAAATTATATAAAGGGCGATTTTTTTTTTTTTAAATGCTACAGGTTTCTAGTTAATGTTTTTGTTAGATTCCATCGATACAGAGTTCTAGTTTAAAAAGTAACAAAAATTTGCTAGAACAATTTTTGGCTGAATTTTTGGTAGCTTGAATCCACCGAAAGTTTCGGTAGATAAATCCATTAATGGTTTTGAATTTGCTGGAAATATTATTTTTTGATATATTTTTATTATTATTTTGTGAATGTTAGACTTGTTTCATACTTTTAGAAATCCTTTTGAAAATTATTTAGCACCAAATAAAAATTCTCATACCCTTTTCATCCTCAAATTGATTGATAAATTGAAGGCTTAAATCAATCCAGCCCCGATGTCGAAGCCACCATCCCGATGCCGAATCGTACCATCCCGATGCTGAATCCACCAATCCCGATGCTAAATCCTTCCATCCCTATTCCAGCGGTGAGGGTGAGGAAAGCAAGATGGAGAGCCGACACAACCGGTGGAGGTGGTTACAATTTCTGATAAGTAAATTTTTGCACTTCTCGATGGCTCCATTAGCAATACCGATGATTTACTTGGGTACAATTCTTAATGTATAGAAAAGAATTGTTTGATTAATTCAAAGATTTCTCTATGTGGATTCAAAGAATCCTATGATTTTTAATCTCTACATCCATAACAGCCATGGTGAAGAACATGAGAATGAGCAATTTGAAATATTTTTTAAAGAATTTGGAATAAAAGATAACCTTTTGGCTTCTAGGATACCCGAATAAATTGAGATAAATAAAGAAATAATATAACCTTAATTGATGTAACCCATTAAATAATAAATGAGTACAAATTACTGAAGTATTTTTTGCTTGAAAATGTGAACTCAACTTATCATATGCTTAACTTAGTAAAAATTTGGCCATTACTGAAAAATATACCATATAAGCTTCTAAAAAGGTAGGAAAATAAATTTATTATATTTTATATGTTTTGATGTAAATATTTTATATTAAACAATGGTAGGTCAAATTTACAAAATTATAAAGCAAAGTTAGGTTATTCTTGCTCGAGTAAATTCTTTACAAAATTCAACAAAAAAAGCTTGGTTGTTGAAAATTTTGTACATGTCATTTTTTATGAATAAACTACTGTAAAATAAATAAGATAAAATGATTTAAAAATACACATAATAAAAAATCTAAATATATTAAATATTATAGAAGTTGGAAAGGATGAGATATACACTCATTCATTATAATGAATATCTTATATATATATATATATATATTCATAGTTTGTGAGAGAGAGAGAGAGTGAGAGAGAGAGCGAGGGAGATTTTTGCCTAAATAAATAAGTAATTTGATTGTAGAGTTAATTTGGTGGTGGGGTGAAGGAATGTATTGCAATAGGGTGTCAGACTATGATTTGGTCCAAAGAAACTTAAGAGAAGTAGGTTGACTTCAAATGATGAGAACTCCTTGAATAGTTATCCTAAAATCATGAAATTAATAGTAAAAGTTAGGGGAAATTGTCTAAATGTGATTGAAAATGTTTAATAATTTTTTAAAATTAATCAATTCTTTTTAGGATTTTAGAAGCGACTATGTATAGAAAAAATGAAGTTAGGTGATTTTCTAGGGCTAGGGTTTATATATTAGAAACACTACGCGTGACAGAACTTCAAGGAAAACAATTGTGAGTGGAAGGGGGTTGTGTTAAGAGAAAAATTACTAAATATTTGATTCAATCAAATAAGTTTATGAATCATACCATAATATACATAGCATGCAATATGATCTTCAATGAATGATCTAAATTGAACTAAATGACTATACAATCATGATCATACAATATGATCATGACGGTATAATACTATCTTTCAATAATTATTTATTATTAATTACTTATTGAAGCTAATTTTGGAGGATCGACTAGGGCATACAATGCTAATGAACATTCCAACAACTATTAATTTGATTCATATCAATTGGTAAACCTCAGAGAAAATATTGAGAGAAAAAGAAAACAGAAAATTAAATTGAAAATTTTTCTTACGCTCTTCCTAGATAAGTTATTCCTCTTCATCATACTATGATCATCAATTTGTAAATCTAGCTTACTACATCTTCCTCATACTATGGAGGGATTGTCTTGAAAGCTTTCCTCACCTATATTAGTGATGGAGTTAGTACAAATCCTTAGAGGAGGATTTAGAGAGTAGATGTAGGCTCTTGGGTGATTGAACCACTATAGCTTGATTTGCATATTAACATTTCCACATTTTTGCATAATATTATTTTATTACTGTAATTACTATTATGACTTTATTATTGCCTCATTGCAATTGCAAGTATTATCATTTTGATGTGAAAAAAATCTTGTTATCATACTATTGCACATCATTAATAGTTTATTAAAAAATGAAAGAAAACTAAACTTATTCTACTTTCTATGCCATTTAAATCTTGCTAAGAAGGAAAATATGATTGCTCGCATATGTATATATTACTATAATTTTGATTTGAAAGAAAAAAAAATTATATTCAATATATATTTTTTTAAATAACCCAAGTCATTCTTATTGGCTATTACATCAAAAATATCATTAATATTAATTTATATTTTTAAAAATTTAATAGTCAATAAATTAATATAATGATTTATATGTTAGACATATAAATAGATAAGAATTTTTTAATTTGTATGTAATCTTCTTTTATTAATATCTTCTCAAATTTTAGAAAGAGAATTAATTATATTATATTAGACTCTGTTTTTTCTTCTCCTAAATATTTTATATAAAAAATCATGTTATTTATGAGTATCTCTTAATTATTAGCATGTACATACAATTTTATTTAATCCTAATATTATTTAACTAATATTATAATTCGACGATTATTATTTTATGTAATATTGATAATTAATCTGACTAAATTATGGGTGTATTGTAATTAAAAAAAAAAAAAGAGAAGAGTTAACCATAAAACCTGCTAAACCCTAAACCCTCTCATATTTCCTCAAGGCTTTTCTCCTTTTTGCCAGTTAACGCGTGCTCGAAGTTAGAACCCATCGATATTGGCTGCCACGCGAGCTAGAAGATGCTGGCAGGGTTTGTAATTGGAAGAGCGTCAAAAGCCCTAAATCAATTCCTGCATCACTCTCCTGCACTTTCGCAATGCCTTCCGAGAACTATGTTATCGGTTGGGAAGCAATCCTTCTCCGAAAATAAGCTAGGGCCTTCCAATTCGAGGTCAATGGTCGTCAGTTCCACTCCCAGACTTGACCTAGCTGAAGCTGTCGCCTCCGCTCTCGATGCCGATACTAGAGTTCCTGCCACCGTGATAACTGGCTTTCTCGGCTCCGGAAAGGTCCCAAATTGCTCTTGTTACTGTTACATTTATTCTCCCAAGGAGATATTATGACATTTTACAATACTGCCTATTTAAAAATCATTATATTTTTGCCAAAAATTATTGATTTTTATTAAATAGTCATGAAATTTCAAAGTTTCTTGACAGGTTCCTAAGTTTCTTCTTCTTCTTCTCAAAGCACACTCCACCTGCGATCTCCACGGCTCCACCGTGGTCCGGGAGTTCGTTCGATGAAGCAGAAATCCGACTGATTGTATATCTAGTCGAGCTCTCGAGTCTGATTACGAATGCTTGAGCCGAGTTCAAGCTCGTTTCCTGGGCTTGACTCGAGCTCAAGCTGTTAATTTTATTGATGAATCAAGCTTAGGCTTGCCGTGACTCAAGTTCGACTTTACTCATTTACACCCCTATTGCCATTTGTTAATAGCTTCCTTTTGTTCTTTGAGATTGACTTTACCCTCATGGTCATTGTCCAATAATTTGTTCAACAAATCTGTCTTTGTCGCCCAAGTGGAGTTTTTATTGCTCCGAATATTGTATGACTAATTGGCCTCCTTTTTGCATTTGATGAGATGGCAATCGGCTTCATTAGTGGTTGGTTCTCCAATGTAGTGTTTAGTAGCTTTCCCAATGCCATTTGAGGTCCTCTTAGTAAGCCTTTAAGAGGGATGTATGGAAATTGGATGTATGTGAAACTGTTTTGCTAAGTATAATTTGTATGCGATGATGTTGATTCTTCATACTACTTTGTAGGGCTTGCAGTATCATTGTTGGAGCTTAGAATAGGTGTGTAGTCTTGCTGAAGTTTGTTTTTATGATTACAAATTGATTATGATTAATCACCCACTTGAAATTCCAACTTATGTTGTTTAATTGGGTCTTCATGCGATTTTGATCTCACAACAAGTTATCGCATAGTTTGCACAGGCCCAATGTTTTGTTTTGCAATAGTGTATCAACTGCCTCTATAGTGGACTCTTGGCCTATGCATGGGTGTATTGATGGTGGTGGCTAACCATACAAGGCTTCAAATGGTGTTTGATTACTGGATGTATAACTGTTGTTGTTAGAGAATGCAACCCAAAATAGAAATTGTGTCCATCTTGTTTGATTGTCCATGGCAAAGCATGGGAGGTATTGCTGTTGTCTGCGACTGTTTTCTTTGATTTAATTGTTGGTCTCCGGTGGTGGGTGGTGGTATATTGCAACTTTGTTTCCATTGACTTTATAATCTCTTCAGGAAGTTACTTAAAAAGTTCAATTGTGATCATATTTTATAATTTTTGGTGGGTCGTGTAGCTTGCAAATGTCTATAATCAAGACAGTGGCAACTTTGCTTATTGTGAAGTGCATAGTTAATATTGAAAAATGGGCTTATTTTGAGGTGGTCCACAACTTCTATGGTGATAGTTTGTTCACAGGTTCTAGGAGTTGAATGGTAAAGTCCATTGTGGTGCCTTCAAATATAGTGATTATTGTTGGAGGTGGTTATAGAAGATCCGCATGTGTTAATGGCTGATATTTTCTAATCTGATATGCTTGACAGCTTTTGATGAACACTTGGATGTCTTTGTGGTGCTTGAATTGATCGACTATTCTCCAAAATATTGGCAAAGTCCATTGTGTCCGCTGGTAATGCTTGAATGGAAAGCTTGTAAGATTTATGCTTGGGGAAATTGACGATAACATTATGTGTCCTCTTTTATGGATTAACTCATTATGAATAAGGTAGTTGTGATAGTATTTTGGGATTTGGTGGAAGGTGCGTGATAATTCTGCTGCTTTTGTCTTTGTGGTGGTCTTTGCTTTAATTTTATTGGACGAGGTTGAGTATTGAGGCAGTTATTATAAATCCATTTTTTTTGTGTCATAGTTGACGTTAGCATCTTCATGTTGGCGAGATGGAGCTTTGACTACCTGGTTGTTTCATTCCTGATTATGTTTAAAGAAGAAATCATAACCTAACAACTTAACCAAGAAACGTTTTTTGTGCTAGCAAGCTTGAATCATGAGTTCACAAAGGCTTCTATGATATTTTTTCCTAGATAAATTTGGCTGTGAGCAAATATTGGTTCCATTGTGCCACCACCTTTGTCATGGTGTATATTTATTTAACATAGTCTTGAATCCTAATTTGTTTGTGGATGATACCCTACTTTACTAACAGATTTATCTGGTGAGTTGAAAGAATGGAGAGTGTAGTGAGAATAGAGAGAATAGAGCTATAAGTCTCAAAAAAGCAGAGTATCCATTATCAGTGAAAGAAAAATTTTAGAGTCCTCCCTTAAACTGTTCCTCATCACGTCTTATTTACAAGATTTTGAGGGCTACATGAAAGACTATAAAAAAAAAAGAAAAAGTAAAAAAAAAAACAAGTTATACAGAATACCCGTATAATGCTGCATGCTAATCTAGAAACTTGTTGTCCCTTGACGGGTTGAAGGAGGGAGAAGTCGACAGTTTCTTGGGCGAGCTCTTCCCGGGTAAGCTAGTTGGCAGTGAGTTTGTTCTTTTGTGCGTGGTTTGATGTGTTTGGGTCAACATTTGAGCTAGGGAATGATAGAGCTATCTAACTCTTAGCTATGTGAGCCCTTTTGGCACATCTTATATAGATTATTCTTGCATCTTATTCTCCATCACCTTAGTCGATTAAGACCCCAAAGATAAGCGATCTTTCTTCAAGAGAGGTGGATTTTTGCTTCCCACAACTATAATCATTAATTATATGTTAAAACACTACATCTCTTAAAATCAAACACAATGAGGCCTAATAAATGTTATTTATAGGGGTTAACAGAAAGTATCTCAGAAGCTTATGATCAAGTAGCGCACTATCTTGTCGATTAGGGAATTTTTATTGCATCCGGTAAAAATACCGAGCATACCGAGTGTACCGAACACCTGTACCGAGCACAATACTGAGCACTTTAGTGACGTGGTGTTTTGTTATTGGTTTCCGAATGCATTCGGTAACCTGACAGAATCATTACTTGTTGATTAGGGTATCGATTCTTAGCAGTAGGTAGTCGTTCGTAGGGTGTTGAGTTCATATTTATGAACACTTACTATTGGCTTTTTGTAAAATCACCACATTTGCGATCCAGTCTAGTGACTAGACTTCTATGATGAAGTTGGTATCCATAAGCTTATGTACTTCTTCTTTGATGGTTCAATGAATATTTTCATTGTCTTTTTGATCTTTTGCTTTATGGGGAGCATCCCTTCTCATATTCAATTGATGGCATACGACCTCTTCAGTGATCCCAGGCATATCTATGGTGATCCACGCAAATACATTCAGGTGAATCTGCAAGCGAGTCCTAAGATGTGTGAGACTCATGAATGGTGAGAGATCTGATGTTGCTGACGGCTTTTGTAGAAGATTCTAAGTCACCTTGAAGGAAAAGGCGAGCAGGACATTGCAGGAATGGAGAGCTTTAGGTTGAGTAGTTATATTTGAGTTATGTGTCCTAAGTAAGTACTTTCCTGCAGCTAAGCTTGGCAAGCTTGAAGATAAGGCTCTGGGGTTGAGCTAGTGACTAAGATAGCGACGATTGGAGATTTGCTTGCTTAACGGATTTTTGATTTGCCCGGTGCATGGCGAGCTCCTTGGTAAGCTCAGGCGAGTAAAGCCTATTCATCTCCTCAGGTGTGTCCCTTTGGCAGTCCTAGGCAAGTGCTTCAAAGAAACCCTCTTGTGGGCGAGTGCCTTTGACATGTTTCAGTAGCCACTTGCTAAACACCTGTGAAGTCATATATGAGTATGCACATAGGTTGACACTTATTGCATTTTCATGCGCAATTTTTTGTTGTAGAAGGCCACAAGTTGCTTATTTTGGGACAAAACTGCTCCAATTTTAATTTATGAAGCTGTTAGTGTTGATGTTGAACGACTTTATAAAATTGGGTGGTTATAGGACAAGAGATTTTGCTAAAGTTTCTTTGAGTCTTCCAAATGCATTTTTATTTTGCTCGCCCCATTCAAAGACATTTATTTTGGGAAAGGGTGATTGGGACGAATGTTTAAAATTTATTGAGGCGTTTTTCGTTCGTGAGGTGAGGCGTAAGACTCAAGGCGTTTTGAGGTGCAAGCCTTAATATCAAAAGATTGCGTCAATATAAAATGATAAATTTTTTATATACTAATGAGAAAAAATATAAAACATAAAAAGACACAAGATATGAAGTGAAATCAAAATATCCCTTCACAACTTTGTCACAATAATTGCATTTTAGATAGATATGTGTTTTATCACTTCCTCTTACATCCACCTACGTGGTATGTTTTCATCCTGCATCTTTTCTATGACATGATGCAGCTTTATCCTTACTTATGACCATCCTTTATATGAAGAATATATTAGTGCAATATATCAAACCCTTAAACATAATGCTTCACTTATTCTACATTAAGAAAACCTATACAAAGCATGCACTCATGAACAAGCAGACTAACACTAACAAATATTGCTAAAGATGATGAATACAATAATATGTCGTGTTGCCGAAGGTCCAAGGGGGTGTTACCCCTTGGCGGGGTTCGACTTGTGGGGGTTTCCGGGGGCAGCGTCCCCGGAACAAATTTTTATTGTAAGAGTAATTTTGAAGTTCTGCTTATTTTTAAAGTTTTTAAGTCGTTTGTATGGAAAGATACAGAGTGATACCGAGCATGTACCTAGCGGTACCGAGGATGTACCTAGTTGTACTGAGTGGTACCGAGCATGTACCTAGCGATACCGAGTTGCAAAATGCATGTACTTAGGTTGGTGTTTTTTTTTTTTTAAATAATTTTAAACCATGATCGGGGCTATTGTTATATTTGCAAAGTTTTCCACGAACCTATGATAACAATTTTCTGGCTTGAGGAGCCCGTGTAGATGCTTTTTAGTGTTTTTCTGTGGCCACTCTTATGCAATTACAATCTTCTTTTGATTTGGATTAACACCATCCACATCACCACATGCCTCTTGTATTCAATATGTGGTTGGTTAAATAAGCACTTGGATTATATGAGTGCAATCTTTTGCTATAGAGGTAATATAGAAATAATTACATCCCAATTATTGCCAAAGAGCGACCACACTCTTGTATATGGTGAAAAAAAACAATCATAAATTCTCTTAAGTGAGATTTCAACATGGTATTCATAATTTTGAAATGTTGCACGTGCATTCTTCAACCTAAATGACATGATGCCAAATTCATTGTTCCCCTCGTATCTTCTAAATCCTATATTTGGCATGTCTGCATTTGCCATACAAACATGGTGGTGACCTGCCTGCAAGTCTAGTTTAGAGATGTTGCACCAGGAAGTTTGTCTAGCATTTTGTCAATAATTGGGATGGAGTAGTGATTTCTAACTATTTCTTGATTTAAAGTCTACTGATTGAGACAGAATCACCGTGTGTTGTCTCTTTCTTTGATGAGTAAGATTGATAAAGAAAATAGGATAGTGTTAGGATGAATCAAATCTATCACAAGCATCTTATTTGCCATCTTTTCAATTGCCATTTTTTTGAAAATAGGGGTAGTGGTAGGGTTGTATGTTTACTTCTATTGTCTTATATTTCAGATGTATTTTTATGATCTATTGTTCTATTGAGTGGAACGTGTTTGGGTTGTTGAAAGGCTTGGCAAAATAATATGAGGACTCATGTAATGCCAGTAGGTGGTTTTGTTGCAAGAATTGTCATGTATGTTGGTTTAATGTCCAAAGCTGGGTGTTGGATGATGGAATCCTCTACACCTTAGGGTTATGAGTTTTTTTTAATTAATTGAGTTGCATGCTTTCAATTGTTGGCTTGCGTATTCCATGCAGTTTCATAATTTTTTCTTGCCAAATAAAGTTCAAGGAAAACCAATTGTAGTTGGTGCTTTCGTTGATGAGCAAATGTTGCCTCTCAATTCCCAACACATTTCTGAATGGGAAAAACATATAATCCTTTGTTCTTGCAGTCTTAGTTTGATGGTCAGGTATTTGTGTTGGCTCAACATGTTCTCACTATTTCTGATGACCACATGGAATCATTGTGTAGGGTTAATGATAAGGCCCAAATATTCTGCTAATCATTGTTGGACAAAATTATCTGACAATCTACCATGAATTAAGGCTTGAACCATTTCCACTCGCAATGTAGCAGGTAGTGGTTGACCTGGCACTGCATAAAGGGTGATTGTTGGACATGGCTTAGTTGGAGGTTCAGTGTTGTTTGCAGGGGTAGATGATGCGACAGCCACCATAAAAGAGGTGTTCTAGAAGTTGTCGCTGTCAAAATTCATTAGTGCTAATCCAAATCATGCAGTGACATCCTTTGCATGTGTGATTTATGTGAATTTTTTGTCACAATTTTAGTATAAACCCTTTACTTGTCTCTTCATAATTTTTGTAGGAGTTAAGCATTTGATTGTAATTGTTATCATTGATTCTATGTGGTCTAGATTGGGCGGTGACCGAGCAAGGGGCAAAAGCTTATGTGTTTGAGTAGTTGTGATTGATTTTGGTTAGATATAATTGAGTTTCCATGATGCGACTTATCCATAATTAATTTGGCTAGTTCAATTGATTGGTATGGAGAGGTTGGCATGTGAATGTGGACTTATTTTTGTATGTGGATTTTAAGCTCGATTAGAAGTAATTTTGCAATAAGTCTTTGTCTATGCAAGTAATGTGATTGGAGGGCTATTTGTATTTGTTTTGATTGTATGATATGAAAGAAGTTTGAATTAGTTTGGCCAATTGTCCTAAGAGGCTAAAATATTTGGATGGGCCAAATCAATTGTGGAGGGCGGTGAGAATCCTGCTTCAAGATGTGAGACTGTTTGTCTTGGATAGCCATATGAGCCATTCTTAAGTGGGGCTGTCCATGTGGAATGAGATTAATGTTAATTTTTAGTGTGAGTTTGTAGATTTTGTAATATTGTTTGATTTTTGTATCCAAGTTTAGAGGTTTTCACTTGCATATTGAGGGATTGTTATGCACATGGTTTTAAATGTATTGTCTTCCATGATTTCTTTCATTGCAGTTTTCGCTGATCGCAATGTTTTCTGGCTGTTGTGTGGTTCCTTCAATTAGTTTGTTTATTTCTAATGAACTTCCACCAAGGTCAATTGTAGCTGGACTTTGTGTTTTAATTCTTGAATAACCTGAAGGTTTTTTTTTTTTCTTGAATGGAGGGTTATTGAGGGCTTTGGCTTTTGATAAACTACCATTAATCATGGATAGAGTGAAGATTGGTAAGAGTGGTTCTTTGCTTGGTGATGAAATATCCTTGGGAAGTTTCAACAAGATCACTAAATAATAGGTTCCTACAATGATGAGTGGTGGCGAGTGAAGATAAAAGAAAATCTAGCCTTGCTGGCGGGCTCTTGAAAAAGGAAAAATAGAGCACGGAAGACAAACAAAAGAAGATTTATTAATTTACTTGGACAAATTTGTTGTCCCACCTTTTTTATATGCCACTTTCGCCACCTTTTTCTCCTCATCTATTCAATTTAAGACATCAAGATTATTTCCAAATAAATTCTGAATTGCTTGATAATGACTCTTATTTGCTTCATAATATTTTTCTTTCGACCCATTGCCTACATGGAAGTCAATATGCCAAGCTTAAGGTCTTTGCTCCCTTTGCTTGGTGGTTTTTTTCTCCATTGCTTATTCCTGTGATTTCTCGCATTGACAGTTGTTATGGTTCTAACATAGCATGATTTCTTTGAGCCTCTAATCTTGCTTTCCCTTTAGCTCAATCCAAAGAAAAAAATTTTTTTTTTCTCAGTAGTTTAGGGAATTCTTTGACTCCTAACAGCATACTTCTATTTCTCGGCTAATGCAAATTACAGAATCTTAAACTCTGCACTACAGCCTCGTTCTCCTGTTTAGATTAGGGTTGGCTTATGTTGCTTGAATAAATGTAATTCACTAGGCATATTTTTAAGTTGGCTGATAGTTCATTAAATGTTGTTTTCTTGAATAATTATAATTCATTTAGCTTATTTTAAAGTTTGATAATGGTTCATTAAATGCTGTTTGTTTGAGTTTTTGTCTCCTACTCCTTGATTTATTCATGGGAGCTTCACCGTTCTGGAATTGAAATACTTGTAATATCTATGCAGACTACTCTGCTGAACCACATTCTAACTGCCCAACATGGAAAGAGAATTGCTGTGATTGAGAACGAGGTAATAATGTTAATTATTCCTTCTAAATATATATATATATATATATATATATTTTTTTTTTCTGGCCTATCTTTTATCTGTTTCATCAACGACCCTTACATTTTGTAAAAAGTAGCATGAATATATGTATTACAATGTACAATCTAATTCATTTTTCAATTATCTTTTGATAGATGTAAACATTAATTTTTAAAGTAATATCTTGGGGATTCTTGTTTTTATAGTTTTAATTGCAAAATCGATGCATATTATTTAACTATATTGGTCTTGCCATATATTAATAAGCTGTGTGTTGCTCTCCATCTTATGCCGTAACTACCCTTTTGGGCTTTTTGGTTTCTTGTAAATAGAAGTTTTGAACCCTTAGATTACATTTATAATATATAAGCAAAAAAAGAAAAATAAAACTTTTTGTTTTCTCCCACTATTACAAGGTTCTTTCCACTTATAGGAGAAGCTAATATACAAAGTTTGTAATGAATTACACTTTCTACCTTTATTTTCTTATTTACATTATCAATTAAATCAGAACTATTCATGACTGTAATTATATCTTGATGTTTTGGGCCTAGTTATCAATGCTATGATCGATTTTTGAATTCCCTATCTCATCAACAACTTGCCTTCCATATTTGTATTTCCTTTGTGATTCTCGGCAGCAGCTAATCTTTCAGTTTTGCATTTCCATTTTGATTGCTTGCCTGAACCTAAATCTCCATATTGATTTTAGACTAAGTTGTCAATCTGCTTAATGTGGAGTCTCTTTGGTAGTATCAAGAACTTGTTCAGTTATAATATATTCTATATAAATTTAGTCATTTTCAGGTTTATCTTTAATCAAGTACTTATCAAGTTCCACATTTTTCATCCTGTTACAAAAAAATGGATTGTGAGGTATTGAGATACTGCCTTGCTATTGTGTGCTCCGAAAATTTGTGCTCGCTTCCCCGGCCTCTCCGTGCTGTTCTCTTTTCTTGTTTGTTTATGACGGTGGAGAGTTTTAATGAGCTTAGGTTCTGGGTGAATTTTCAGAAGGCAGATTGAGTTTTAGATAAGACACTACCTAGAGATTTCACCCTCATTTTTGTGACTTAATGATCTGAGTTTTGGTTTCCTATAGGTGCAAGCGCCTATAGTTAATTACCTCTCATGATTACAAGAGAGAACTTTCGATTAATGCTAGTTGTTAAAGAGGTCGCATAGGTTGTAAATCCAGCATATAATAACAATAGTTTTATGGTTTGGGATATGAATTTTAGAATTTAAGACTTAATGTTTATCACCATAAACTTAAAACTGTTGATAGGGTAATGAAGACAGGTCCGATCAAGATCTCATGGTTCTGTCATCCCGGGCTGTCATGTTCCCCGGACAACTTAGTCAGAGGAGGTAGTTGATCCAACTTGACAGAAGGTATCTAATCAACAACCATAGGTTGCTTTGTCCAAGAATACTTTGTAGAACTAGGTTGGTGTTTGTCTAAGGGGGTAGATCTGAATCCACTTTAGGTGATAGAGGGCTTTATGCCTATTGAGTATACTCTATGATTCATTACTCAAGGTTTTGACGTCGTTAACAAACATATGGGCTTTGGCCATGATCGTAATATAATGGTGCCATTTTGCAGTAAAACCACCTGATCAGAGGGCAAGTGCCATGTTCCTGCTGGTAAGAGACTATTTAAGGATGAATCTTAGTGATACACTCGACACGACATTAGGTCTTTGTGAGCTGAGGTTAATTTCAAATTTATCACTCCAGACAAACGGTTGCAGGAGGTGGATGATTTTTAGTTTTAAGTTTTTTTAGATGATAGATTTCATTTTAAGGATTTAGATTTTTATTGGTTTTGAGATTTGACCTCTCCGGTTAAGATTTTGCCGTCAACACGGCCATAATCGAGGTGTCGTTAAAAATCACTTTTATTTTGTAGGAATTTGGAAGGCCTTTTATGATTCAAGTTAGGTTGACTTCTATCCTGTCAAGGAGGAGGATAAGCTTTGAATATTTGACATGCGTAGCATTCTCAGACATTGGCGTTTAGAAATTTATTGCATTTGTCGGAGCACATGCGTGAGTATGTTTTAGTATATAATTTAGAGTTATTATAAGAGTATCGCCTTCTATCTGCTCGTACAAATGGTGCAGATCCGATGGTGTTAATCTAAATCAGGTTTGAGTTGTAAAACGTAAAAAATGTGTTGTTTAATTTACTCAAGCTTTTCATATAATTTAATATAGCTTGTAAAGAATGTTTATTCAATAGAAATTAGAAGATCGTGTTCTTGCTTGTAAGTGAACTGCATTGATTGCTACGAGTCTTCTGTTATCTCCTATAGGTTAGTTATGTACCCTACAAATTCATTGCTTCTTGTCCTGATGTATTGGTGATATGCCTTTTTTTAACAAAATTAATGATAATTATCATTAAAGAGTGTTGGAAAGAAGTCAAGTAAGGCTCCTATAAAGATGTTGATAGCATAAGATTGATCTAATGTATTTGAATCAAAGGTGACATCTCCTGGCATTGACATAACCCTTTGAATAGATCTTCTCAAAACTATTGTTTGTCTGTAGGAAGAGATTTATCTAATAGAAAGAGTCTAAAGACGCTTCTAAGGTTCTTAGTTTTAAATGAGTTTCTCAAATTTCTTAAAGAACTAAGCTCTAGTCATACATTGCTAAAACACGAATAGATGCATAATAGACGTTTTCAAGAAAAGACTATAGTGGCATGATTTTGATTTGGCTAAAAGATGCATCAAATCAATATGCTTTGATCTCAAAATGGTATATTGCAAGATTCCTCTTGAGTAGTATATTGAAGTCAAAATAAATTATTAATTTCCTTCAATTATAGAAACAAGATGGTGTTCATTTTCCATTAGCACCATTTACATTATCAGATTTAGATTGATTTATTGTTGTTTTTTGATTTGATTGTCACAAGCATCTACTCTATAAGTCACTTTTAGGTACGCTATCATTTGCTTAATAGTTTTTGTAAATAGAAACATTTTCTCTCCCTCTCATTTTTATATGTTCTAATTAATTGAAAACTACTGCTCGACTTGATGGTGTAGACCCTCCCTCTTTTTATTTGTCACAAGCATCTACTCTATAAGTCACTTTTAGGTACGCTATCATTTGCTTAATAGTTTTTGTAAATAGAAACATTTTCTCTCCCTCTCATTTTTATATGTTCTAATTAATTGAAAACTACTGCTCGACTTGATGGTGTAGACCCTCCCTCTTTTTATTTTTTTAATTTATTGGAATGATAATATATATATATA